TTTGTAGCAGGCCCAGACTAATGTTTATTGCTGTTGCGTAACTCAAGCTAATTGGAAATTGCATAACGAAGTCAAACAGCAAAACAACTCGGCTGAGCATTTCCTAGGCAACTTTTGTTGAAGGCATATAAGTCCTCGGAATATAATGTCGGGATGTAAAGGCAAATTAGGGGATAGCTAGTTTACTCCGCAAGTATGTATATAAGTGGAGGCACTTCGGCTCAGTAATGTGATAAAATGAGGATTTTTAATAAAAGCTAAAGCAAATTACTTGCATTGACCTGCATTTTGGAGAAACTGGCTGCTCATGGCTAGGATGGGCGTACTCTTTGCTGGGTAAAAAACTGGCTGGTGGCTGTGCGCAGAGAGGGGTGGTGAATGGAGTTCAATCCAGTTGGCAGCCAGTCACGAGTGGTGTTCCCCAGGGCTGAGCACTGCGGCCGGTTCTCTTTAATATCTTTATCGTCGACCTGGACGAGGGGATCGAGTGCACCCTCAGTAAGTTCACAGATGACGCCAAATTGGGCGGAAGTGTCGACCTCCTTGAGGGTAGGATGGCCCTGCAGAGGGATGTGGACAGGATGGACCGATGGGCCGAGGCCAATGCTGTGAGGGTCACCAAGGCCAAGTGCCGGGTCCTGCGCTTGGGTCACACCAAGCCCATGGATGCTAGAGGCCTGGGGAGGAGAGGCTGGAAAGCTGCCTGGAGGAGAAGGACCTGGGGGTGTTGGTGGACATCCGGCTGAATATGAGCCAGCAGTGTGGCCAAGAAGGCCAATGGCATCCTGGCCTGTATCAGGAACAGTGTGGCCAGCAGGACTGGGGCAGTGATCGTCCTCCTGTACTTGGCACTGGTGAGGCCCCACCTTGAGTGTTGTGTTCAGTTTTGGGCCCCTCATGATGAGAAAGACATTGAGGTGCTGGAGTGTGTCCAGAGAAGGGCAACGGAGCTGGTGAGGGGTCTGGAGCACACGTCTGATGAGGAACAACTGAGGGTACTGGGGGTGTTCAGCCTGGAGAAGAGGAGGCTGAGGGGAGACCTTCTCCCAAGTGCAAGGTCCTACATCTGGGTCGGGGCAATCCCAAGCACAACTCCAGGCTGGGCAGGGAATGGCTGGAGAGCAGCCCTGAGGAGAAGGACCTGGGGGTGCTGAGTGACCAGAAGCTCAGCATGAGCCAGCAATGTGCGATCACAGCCCAGAAGGCCAACCG